CCCAACTCGAATCCAACTGCAGCTGGCCCAAGTGGGATGGAATGATGATGATTCTGATGTTACATAAAGCTTAGAATTGTTTGGATCACTTCTATATGATGTATCTGAGGTGTGTGGATGATTGGTTTAAGTGGAATTGCTCTGAAATGAGAAATTTGATTTCTCACTTTTGAATTATGGAACTTTGAAACAAGATAGGAAATATGAGAAAATAAGCTTTAGTATTGTTTTGGTGTATTTGAATTGATCAAAGAAGTCCTCTACTTATTGGAAAATGTTTTGATTTTGGATGAATAATGTAGGATGAGGGAGCATGCTATTATCCAATGGATATAGCCATGTAGCTTTAACTTAAATGCCAAGGTACCATTAGTCTTCTCTAGCATAAACACTCATTGTTTTTAAACATATCTGAACTGGTGTGGTTCATTTCTTGCCAATTCAAGGTTTCACATAAATGTCAAATGACAAACTTGACTTCATGGCTTTGTAATGATGATTTTCACATACTAAAGGATATATCTTTGACTCATTAGCATATTCTTGCAGATTTTGTGTGACTCTAAAAGATTGATGTTGATCTTAGAAGATGACAAGGCTTGCAAAGTCACCAATTCTGTTTTGAAAAATCGTGTGATGCAAGTAAACATGAAAATTGTCTTTAAAAATCAGTTTGATCAAGGCATGTTGTTAAATCCATAACTTCTTGCTCAAGCATGACCAATGGATGTTCTTGTACTTGTTGGAAAGCTGAGATATCCTACTTTAACTTTGATGTTCACAATTGGTCTTGATTCAATTTGGATTATTGTGAAAAATGCCCTTAAACTTGGATAAAACACAAAACAGATTCTGCCTAAATTTTTTCTAAGTGACAAGGTTCAAAAAGTCTTGAAACCTTAACTTCATGGCTTTATATCTCAAAATCTATGCATTTTTTGGGAATCCATCTTAATTGATAAAGTTGTAGTATGTAACAAGCTTTTGAATTTGATCTTTGGATCCAAGAAAATGGTTGCTTGGTTTGGAAGTTATGACCTTGCAAAGTAGCGCAAAAATCAATGTTTTTCATGACTTAGAAAAACTTCTAAGTTTTCTAAGGTTGCTCTTTTTACAAGTTATCTCACTTTTCTTGATTTTTGTTGATTAATAATGATCCAAATCACATATTAACATTATTCTTGACTTGAAAATGGCATGGTTGACCCAAAACTCAAAAAGTCAAACTTGATTTTGAACATAGTTGACTTTTTGTATCAGGTGAATCTTGAACTTTGTGATCCTTTATGAAATCAAATCCTTGGGCTAAATTAAACATCATGGATGGATCCCAAGGGTGTTTTTGAATGTATTGAGTCATGTCCCAAGGTTTGATATCATGTCTTGGTCAAAAGTCAAAGGCACATTTGAATTTTCATAAAAAAAACTAGCTTGTGGTCCAGATGAATTTGAATCTTTGTTTTGCTTATGAATCAAGTTATTTGGATCAAAACAATTATATGAATGAGTCCATATGATTTATTTGAGGTCCTTGAAATATATCTCGAGGTATTGGATCATGCATTGCTCCAAAAGTCAACCCAGGGATTGAATTAGATAAAAACCCTAATTTTGGTGCACTAATGATCTTGATTCTTGTTGATTTTGAAATGAGGCAATTTTATACTTGATTATTGATGGATGGTAGCTCTTGATCTTTATAGATGGATGGGAGACTTGATAGGTTGAAGATCATGTTTATTCTTGACTAATCATTTGCCTAAATCCTTTTATGAGGCTCAAAACCCTAAGTTGAAGTCACAAATGAAACATGGAACAAACTTTGTATATCCAAATAGGTTAGTGATTCATAAAATTATATTCATATGATATGCAAATGATGTAGGATCTTAGGGTCAAAATTTAGGGTATGACACCCGGCGACCGCATCGTTTTCTGCAAAATAACCAACATAACCAAGGAAATCATGGGGGGTTTTCCACCCAATCCCAAATAAGTTCCAAACATAACCAAATATCAACACACGATGCAACATTTCAGAACATACAACATGAATAACAACACATATGTACGTTTTTCATGGAAATGGAAGAATCATAAGTTAACAATTCAATTTCTATTCAAAACCTAACATTTCTAATTTCTACAATCTATGGTATCTAGATAGACACTACAAAAAATGTTGCAATTTCCCACAGGGTATTCACGTCACTAAGTAAGATTTGCGACGTGGGCAGAGCACGTCGGAAAAGCAACTGTGGGAACTTTTTCCCACGTGAAATTCAGGTCACTAATTAGTGACAGGTAAATAACGTCACAAACAACCTAATTAATTAGAAAAGTTCCCACGTGAAATTCACATCACTAATTAGTGACAGGGAATTCACGCCACAAACAACCAAATTAATTGAAAAAGTTCCCACGTGAAATTCACGTCACTAATTAGTGATGTGAATTTCACGTAGCAAATTGCCTTTTCCAAATTCCCTGTTACGCGTGCAATGTGTCACTATGAAAAAGTTCTCATGTGATTCCACGTCACTAATTAGTGACATGGTTTTCACGCCACAAATTCAAACCTGTTTTAAATTTAGTGACCTGATTTTCACTTTACTGATTAATTTAATAATACAAAATTTATAAATATTAATGAATACAACAAATTAATAAATACTAAAATGTAAAAATTTAAATTATTTTCGATTAAAAACATTAATTTTTTTAATAAATATAATTATTAAAAGATATAAAATATTTAGTCGTATTATATTCACGTCTCAAACATAAAAAATAATTAAAAAAAGTGTCACGTAATATTCACGTCACAAACATAAATAATAATAAAAAAAAGTTATTTATCGTCACTACTAAATATAAAATCTTCATCTTCTTCATCATCTTGGACAAATTATTTCGATTGTGAGGCAAAAAATTATCGCATTTATGCCTCCATGTCAGATTGCCGCTTCCTCATTTCCTCCATTTCAACATTTTGCCTATTTCTCATTTCCTCCATTTCGGCCTTTAGCGCCGCCTCACGTGCCTCCGCGTCTCGTCTCGCCTCAGATAGAGCAAACTCTCTCACTATTGCCAATATTTCTGGTGTCAATTCTGCCGGATGAGATCCTCCTTCCTCATCTTTGAGTCTTTGAAATAAAGTTCGGTCCCCTTTTCTGTAATCGCCAACCAAAGACTCAAGACCAAAAAAACACTCATTGACTCCCTTCCCGCCTACTGTTAAATTCAAAATATAAAGATCCATGCATGGATCAAGCGGTGCATTCCTAATCGGCATATACTGAGGATTTTCAGTTAGAAATTGGGCAAGCAAGGTCTGGTACAACTCCTACACACACATAAAAAAAATTAAATTAAAAAATATATATAGTTTAAACAATTTAATTATAAAAAATAATAATGAAATAAAATAATGAAATATAAACAAGTTACCAAGGTTAATTTGGAACGACCGTCAACAAACTCCCCCGATTTTTTGGTTCGGGTCTTCACAAATAGCTCATTAATCTGTGGCTCCCTCCCCAAATCCCTTTTCTAATTAAAATAATTAAGTTTAATTAAATATAGAATAATACAAAATAGAACTTACAAAAATAGTTATAATTACCATTCGTCGACGATGTTCGCCGATACTGATACTTCCAAGTGTACTAAGGCAGCCACCTACTTCAGATGCCCTCATCTTTTTTGCATGTTCAGATCTTCTGTGAAAATCTTCTGTCTTCCACCACTTAATAAGTTCCGCAAATATTTTCTCGCCTATCCAGTTAGGACGAGTTTGATCCCTTTTCCAACATTGTCTAGCATTCTTAAGCATGTCAGATAGTCTTCTAGATACCTTACTTCTATTTTTTTTTTAAATTTTGATCTCGTCAAATTTTTGCCACGCACACCTTTCCTGCAAGTTGTTTGACAATCAAATAAAATTTTAGATATTTATATAACAAAAAAAAATTATAAAATAACATAACTTTAATAAAAATAAAATTTACCTTAAATTTATCAAACCATATATCTTTCTCAGTATCTTGGAGCTCTCTAAAAGACTTAATGAGTTTTGTATACATCAGTTGAATGACCTAGTTTACAGCTTTTGCAGCAGGCCGACACAGATCAAAACTAAACAACAACAATAATTTGAATAAGTATTAAATATAAAATGACAATATATAGTTAAATAAATCATATAAATTAAAAACTTACCCCGATCCCTCGGGCCTAATAAGATGTGTCGTCCTTCAACCACCAAAATCTCCCCTGCAACAGGATTTGCCTGCTCCTCATGAACATCGTCATCCTTCTGAATAGGGTGGGCATCCTGCTCCTGACGCGCAAGTATATGTGTGGGGTGTGGAATGCAGGAACTAAATCCTCCAGGCTGGTGCGCGAAGGAAGTCTGTTGAGGAAAACTAGACCCCCCAGGCTACGACATGAAGGAATATTGTTGAGGAAAACCAGATCCCCTAGGCTGCATGAAGGAAGTCTGCTGAGGAAAACTAGATCCCCTAGGCTGCTGCGTGAAGGAAGACGGTACCTGAGGAAAATTAGATCCCCCAAGCTGATGTATGAAGGATCCCCCAAATGGACTAATAAAAGATGGATTCCCAGATGGAACCGTTTGGGAGGAGGAGAGTAATGTCGTAAATTGCTGTGAAGTGTCTACAGACATTAGATCTGCCTGAGTCTGTGAGCGAGAAGCATACATGCATGGGCGAGAGAGGTACCTCACATACCCTAGCTCTCGAACGGGGTTGGGTCACCTTAGCCTTACCCTTGTTAGTTCGGGGTGGAATTCTATCTATTTTGAAAGAGTTATCAATAAATAAATCAACATTATTATTAACACAATATATACACGTACTACGTAAATATAATTTGCTTTCATATAAAACTAATAATACATTAATAAAAATTGTTCGAACACATATAAAGACTACCTATTCAAACTCTTCATGCTCTTCATCCATATTATTTTCATCATCTCATCCAATAATGTCCTCAGATCCAAACTCTTCATGCTCTTCATCCACATTATTATCTACCAACAACATAAATGCATCAATTTGATGACCCTCGGCCAATGTATCACACAAATTTGTAATTTTTTCAACTTCAACCACATCGTTAATTTGAGAAATTTCATCGTCTTGGTAAGCAACATCTTCCACTAGATCGTCAGTTTCAATATGACCCAATGGTTTTGTTTTGATTACAACACACCATCCAGGTTTATGTGGCTGAATTGATGGGTAAGGAACATAATAAACTTGTTTAATGATATGTGACATTGCGAAAGGGTCATACTCTTTGTACCTTCTGCCTATTCAAATCTCAACAGTGTTATATTTCTTATCTATTTTTGTGCCCCTGACAGATGGATCATACCAATCATAATAAAACAAGACAACTCTATTTTCTGAGTCCAAGTAACTGTATGCCAACTCGTAAATATGCGTAACAACTCCAAAGACATTGCCAACCATATCATCGATCAGATTAAATTGTTCCTCAAATTCTATATATGATCGACTGCTTGATGCGTGTATATTAGTTGTCTCGGCATGTACGTTACTCAGCAGTTGTTCTCCATTATATGTTCAAACCCAATAATTTTTAATGAAACCCTTCCTCTTCAAATGACGTTCTACTTCCTCTGGATCACTAATTATAGGTCTACATTCACATTTAAGACAACGACATCTTGCTCCTCCTTCACGTCAACAACATTCTTGAGCAAATGTCCATGTGATAAATCCTTTAACTGCTTCCTCAAAATTTAGTGTTAGTCCACGTCTGCCTGGTAACGTTCTATCATAAACCCAACTACGATAGTAACGAAAATATTTCATACTGCACATTTGTACTATCATTATATATCATTTTAATTAAATATGTAATTTTAATATATGCAAAATAATATAATTCTTTTGACATTGTTTTAACCTAATATAAATAAATTTTTTACTTCATATACTTCATATTAGCCTAATATAAATAAAAATATTACCCTAATATTACTTCATAAATACATATTATACATTTTATAACTATACTTAACATATATACTTACTTAAATAAAAATATTACTTCATATTTTACCTAATATAAATGAAAATATTACTTAAATAAAAATACTCTACATTTTGTAACATTGTTTTACAAATATTTCCTTACTATAAAAATATAAAATTATAAATACAAATATAAAAATATAAAATCTAGTTATACATTTTAACCTAATAAAAATAAGCTTAATATTAATTATTTTTGAATTAATATTGTTTCTATTTTTTTTTAAATTTCAGTTTTTAAAAAGTTATTTTACAAATTATGTTTGTTTTAAATTCTTTTTTTTTCCTATTTATTTTATAATTTCGGTTTTAAACATTTTTTTTATGAATTGTTTTTGTATTAAATTCTATTTTTTAAAATAACTTTTTTTTATAAATTGTGTTTTTAATAAATCTACATAACATATTAGTTATATACTTTTTTTACAAGTAATTTTTTCTAAACAATACTTTTTAGTAAAAATGCTTCTATTTAATAATTGAGATCAATAAAAATACTTTTTTTTTTAAAATTAATTTTACATTTCTGTTTAATAAAAATATTTTTAAAAATATGTTTTTTCTAAATTTTTTATAATTTTTGTTTATAAACAACAAAAATATAGAAAATTCTATTTTTTAAAACTATAAATTCTGTTTTTTTTTTCAATTCTGTTTTTAAAATATAAAAAATAACTTATGAAATATAGAAAATATAAAATATAACTTATAAAATATAATATATATATTCTATTTTTAATAAAAATAACGTATTTAAAAAAAAATCTATTTTTACACAACAACTACAACAACCAAACAACCAAATAAGTAATCTTATAAAACCTAAATAATTTCATATATAAACAATAAATTCTATTTTTACACAACAACATCCAAAAAACTTCCACATACAATTTTGTTCATATAAATCTGAAAAATAAATAATTTAAATTACAAAAATACCTCAATGAAGTAGCAATAAAGTTTAGGTCTTGAATCTTGATGAACTCCTCTTAAATCCTCCAAATATTATTCTTTTAACAAAAAAAATTAAAAATTAAAAATTAGAAAATATTAAAATAAAATGTAAAACGAAAATAAAAATAAAAAGAATAAAAAATAATGAGGAAGCCATAAATCATACCTTTGATTTAAAATGAAAAGCTTGTTAAAAATGGTATGGTGAGATGAACTTCAGGAAGAAGAAGAGAGAAAACAGAACCGTGAAGGAAGGAAGGAAGGAAGAAAAGCGTGTAGAGTTCTGGTGCTTTGGAGAATATATAGTGAGTTTTGTGACGTGGTAATCAAGTGGGAAACTAGCCTCATGATTCCCACGTGGAACCCCTATAATAAATAATGCAGTCAGTCCAAATTTAATCATCTCAACGGTAAAAAAAAAAGACTAAAAATAATTAATATAAGTGAATTTTGTGACGTGGTAAAACGTGGGAAAGTAGCCATGTGAATCCCATGTCGAAACTTCTCCTAGTAATTAATACCAGCCAGTGCAAATTTAACATACGCAACGGTAAAATAAAAAGAAAGGCTAAAAATAATTAATATAAGTGACTTTTGGGACGTGGTAAACACGTGGGAAAGTAGCCACGTGAATCCCACGTCAGAACTTTTCTAATAATTAATACCGGTAAGTGCAAATTTAATATACGCAACGGTAAAAAAAAGAGACCAAAATTAATTAAAATAATGTAGCGACGTGGGAAGCGCGTCAGACTCTTCCACCGGTCAAACCAAATTCAATATGTTTCAATGGTAAAAACAAAAGTCAGTCCAAAATTAATTAATATAAATTAGCGACGTGAGAATCACGTCGGTACTTTCTCACGTGTATTCCACGTAGGAACTTTTGCAATTCTTCCAGAACAATTACTTCAAATACAGAGATGTTTCCCACTTTTTTTTTCTTCTTTCTATTTTTGAATTTAATTTTCGCACGTGGGTACCACGCCACAAATGAAATTCTGAAAAAATTCAAATTTCCCTCCCACGTGAAACATTATACTTTGATTTTAAATTTTTAATTTTTGTGTTGCGACGTGGGATTCACGTCAAAATAATTTTTTAAAAAATAAACCAGCAATTACCATTTCGAAACTTGAAATTTTTGTGTTTATTAATAAAATAATCTAGTGATGTGGTATACACGTCGCAATTTCCATTATTTCCCACATGGGTACCACACCACTAAATCACTTAGTAAATTGCTTGTTTTCTTGTAGTGCAAACCCACCTTGCAATGACAATGAAGAAGTTGGATGATGAAAATGAGATGATGTTGATGAACAATGATGAAACTCTAAGCTTCTTCTTCTTTCCTCTAGGTTTTCTTCCCCTTCTTTCTATTTCCATTCTTTCTCTCTATTTCTATTTTCTATCTTTCTCTAATACTCCCACTATGTTTGAAAGGAAAGGAAAGAAAATGATACATAGAAATATTATTTAGAGCTAGTAAGACCAAAATGACAAGTGTGGTAGAAAAAGATAAGTTTAGTAGAAGAATAAATATTAAGTCGTACAATGCTTAATATTTGTTCTACTAGAGCAACTGACTCATTATCAATGCTATAAAAAAAGCTCAATTGTACCGATTGATAAAATGTCAATGTTGAATAATATTAATTGAGTAAATCTGAACTCACTAGTTACTATAGTTATCCCACTAATAACTCTTAGAGCATATAGGAACTCAGTTGATCTCAACTGATATTATTTAGAGCACTTTAGGAAATATGGGGTACATTGTTGTTATTGTCTAGTTGTTATAATTAGCACAATTTTGAAATCTATGTGTTTAGGGTTTAATTATTTTTATTAAGTTTGAGTTTGAGATGGAGACTAAGATTGTGTTTTTTGTAATTCTTTGTGCAACTCTCATCTTTTTCCTCTCAACATGTCTAGAGGATATTATAATGACAGAAAATACTGTTGAGTTTATTATATCTTATGTTGATTGTTTTTCGCTAACCCCTCTTTGAACATATAATCTATTAAATTAATTTTGAAAATAATAATATGAAAAATTATGTTGTATTTGAAAAACATTTTACACTGATAAATGTTTTTCGGGCATTTTATAGTTAATCATTCATCTCACGGTCTTTAATCGTTAAAATTTCTCTAATGCTTACAGTTTTATTCAACTTTCTTCCATAGTTGTTGAATGAATAAGTACGAAGAAAAATTGAACGAAAGTATGAATAATATTTATAAAAAGATAATTTTGTTTTTAAAATTATTGTTTTAACACAAATAAAAAAATTATTGTTAACCAATTTTATTATTGCGTTACCCATAAAAATATATGTTATTAACCACTGTTTTTACTTATAACTTATTAACCATGTTTACTAATTCATTAACTAATAAAATACACAATATTAACCAAATTTTGACATTAGATTATAAAATCTAATAACTATCCTTTACATTCTATTAACCAATTTTAATTAATATATTTTATAATTTAATATTACGATTTTATTTGTTATATTTCTTACAACTTGGTTAATGAAGTATAAAAATGGATTATTATATTTCATATTTTAATCTTAGAATTTGGTTAATGATGTGTAATTTATTGGGTATGAATTAGTAAATTCTATTAACGAGTTATAAGTAAAATAAGTGGTTAATAACATATATATTTGTGGTTAATACAATAATAAAATTGGTTAATAACAAACTTTATATTTATGTTACAAAAATAAATTTAAAAATAAAAACATTTTTTTTAATATAAATTGTTTTTTATTTAATTTTTTTTAAAAAAAATACTATTCACCGTATAAATATGGTGAACAGTGTGTGGTGCAAGTATTGGTATAACTAAATGGTGTAAGAATAATATTTCTCATATATTGCTTGTTTTACCTGTCGACTATATTTCAAAATCGAAGGGGTAGGTTTTTTCGCCATTTAAAAATTTCAAAAAGGATCTCACTGAGGATCAGAACCATAAGCATTTCAAATATCCCCTCAGTTAATCAAAAATCAAGGGTTAAAGTGGCAATTTTTCTTGTTGCCCTTTGTTACCTCGCTTGTGTAACTGGGGTAAAATCTACTTCGCTCCCAAGGTAAAAAGTGTTTTTTGTAGTAGTGATTCATTCATATAATAATCAAGTAATGAAATGCAATGCATCAAGATATGTTTTCACTCTATGAGATTCATCTCTTCCATCATAATCATGCATGAAATCTCATCTAATATGGTATCAGCATAA